AAATCTCACTGTACTTTTGTTTCTGCAGCTATTTAACTGGTCTGACTGCTTCTGGAGGGAGGAGGTTATCATAAGGTTGTAAAGTTTGTTAATGTTCTCAGGTGCAAGCTAGTATAGGCATGCAAATTTTTGTTTCTAGTTATAAAAAATATCAAGTGTTAAATCATACTGTGAAAATGAAATAACTGCTGGATACTTCTAGTACTGTCTGTTCTATTGCACCAGGTCATTTAAATTAGGGGTACTTATTGTAAGATGTATTCCAGTGAGAAAGTATAATTTGTTAAAATACCTCACATACTATTTAATTATCTCCTTTCTTAAAAAAGAACTTCAATGGCTTTGCTACGATTTATGAATGAAAAATTCATATTATTGGCTAATTTGGTTTGATATGTACAGTGCTGAATGCAAACTTAGATCTATCTTGGTTTTATATAGAATAGAAATTTGCTAGCCCAGATGTAGTCTTATCTACATCAAATAAAAATACCTTTCATAACACAGGTGGGTAATGGTGTGTGGTATTTTTAAATCATTTAAAAATATGAGGAAGGTAGTTTGAGGTGTGAAAGATTTAAGCTTGAAAAGGTTGTGTACTGTGGAGCCTAGTGAACATATATTGACTGTAGCATTCTTAAAGAGACCCAAAAAAGCACACTTTTCATTTCACTGTAAACCTTTGAAGTCAGCTGGTTACACTTGGGTTAAGGGAGCATTTTCAATGGTGAGTCTTCTCACTGACTTCAACAGACCTTGGATCAGCCTGTTAGTATGTGAGAACATGCTGGGCTGCTCATGCTGCCTGAAGCTGATGCTGCTGCCATCCCACCAGTAGCGGTTCTGTAACGCAGCATACACATCCTCTCTGGCAGTGACCTTGCATTTCTGAGATGGAAATGTCTGGGGGCCAAACTGTATGTAAATTACATTTGTGCAAGGGACCAAGAAAAGGCTGAAACTCAAGGCAAATTTAGTCCTATTATTGCATGTGTTTCAAACTTGTGCTGAAAATAGCACTGCTTAGCTTTTGTCCTTTTCTTTACAGTTTACATGTGCTGGCATCACTAATGTCATTGATTTGAATGTATTAAAGTAGAAATTTACTAGCGACTGTGTCTTTATAACCCACAGACATAGCATCCACATGCTAACAAGTGTTTAACAATTAGTACAAAAGCTGGTTTTTGTAAAGTGGTGGAGCAATTCTTATGGACAGAAAAAAAAAAAAAAACAACAGCTTCTTATTTCCAGCAGTAAATGAACTAATTCTTAGTTACTTTAGACTTTAATTAGGACCTTCCTGTTCTTGCAGTCTTCTCATGACCATCTTTAAGATACATATGAAAGATTTCTTCTTTAAAATCTTGTATGCAGATTTGTCCTGCAAGATTTCATTAACTGTGAATTTATTTAGTCATTTAGGGAAGGGAAATGTGCTGTAGGAGAAACAAATAGTGGTGGTCTAACTAACCATATGGATTGAGTTTATAACACAACAGTTAAAAACTGTTTTGAACATTCTAGAAAATAAAGTGATAATGAAATTATTTGGTATTTGTTTACTGATCAAGAGCCTTACTCAAGTACTCTGATGAATTCTTACAAACATGCTTCTGAAATGATACAGTTTCTAGTTTCTCAGAGGAGTCTTAGCAAATTCCTAAAGCTGTTACAATTCACGTCCCAGAAGTATTTAAAAGACAAGAGAAGGCAGTCTTCAAAAGTAGGTGTGAAATATCTAAGAATTCCTCAATTTGCTCATATTTTGTTCATCTCACTGTAATAAAAATGTAGATAGAAGTTTACATTAAACTTTTGATTTTATTCTTTTTTTAATATATTTTTTATTATTATTTATCTTTTATTTTAAAAGGTTTTGTTTGCACTTACTCTATTTTTGACCTCTCTTCCTACTCTTTTAGGTGTTGATTTAGTCATCTCATGGATCTGGCCCTTGTTTTGATGTCCAGTGCCGTTTAAGTAGTGAAATAAGGTGCCTTACAACCCCCTCTATCCAATCCTACTAGGTGGACTTCAGCTTGCTCCCAGGGCAAGCTAATAAGAGTCAGTTCTCCAGATTAACTGATTGCAAACAAGACTTGATGCAGAATTTCCCTGTGCACAACAGCCATCTCAGAAATAGGGCAAGGTTGATTTGACCCATTTACAATGATGCTTCAGTAGGTTTTGCATAAAGACTAGTACTTAAATGGAAACATGATCCTCCACAATTGCTGTTGTCTGAAAAGCACAGATTCCAAGTAGCTTCACATGACTCCTCCATAGACACCAAGAGACCTCCTGAAACCTACTTGGATATCCATTAACATTCTCAGAGAAAACAGGAACTATCAGCAACATGAAAACATGAGGCAGAATGTGCCATCTAAAAGAAAGAGGCACATTTTCTTCTAAAGAAAATTCACTTGTTTTCAAGGCAACCAACTTTGTTACTAGAAGAAAACATCTATACAGCAGTCTGCAGTCCCCTACAGCAAAGAAACCCAACTTCAGCACAACAAATGTGGTGTCTTCTTTCTGTTAGCTGGCCTTCAGCTAGCTAGTTTGTCAGAATAAATTGTTCTATGATTGTCAGAGCAGCTGAAGGTCAAGGTAAAATAAATCAGAAAAGAAAGCAGTTAAATTCTGAAATCCAGAAGCCAAACACCCGGCTTGGGGGTGCGTGTGGTGAAGTACATAATATGTAACAGTGTGTCATGTTGTTAAACAAAAATCAGTTCATGCTTATGTGCCCGTGTTTACAGGACTGTTACAGTCAATTCCTGTACCTGTTGATAGTTTGTATCAGCATGAATCAGAGGAGTTCTTGCTCTAAGGCAGGTTGTCCCCCATACGCTGTGTATCTTTTTCCTGTAAAGGGCTGTGAATAGGATGGATTGCAAAGTGGTTACCTTCCTGAATACGCTGCCTGGAGATACAACTCACCTCACGTGTAGCATTTGTTCAGACCACATGAGAACCTACTTTTTTACATGGTGCTGGATACCCTGAGGCTTACAGTTCTGGCTTCTGCAGTCATTCCCACTCATTTTTACAATTCATCTGTAATTGCTGTTTCTTGAAACCAGCTCTGTTTCAGTTACACCCACAGGAAGAGACATTTTTAGTTATCTGAATGCTTGAGCCAGTTAGGAAAGCTGAGCTACTTTACTTTCAAGCTTTGGGCTGACCATGGATGGTATCAACACTGCCTAACAGTAAATGGTTCTTTAGTCTGATTTGCAAGCATTTTGTAACTGTCTGTGTTCAGAGGACGTGATGCCTGAGAAGAATACAGCTTAAAGGAGTTCGATTCCAGAAAACAACCAGGCACAGGTGGGACAGCACTCAGTGAAATGCGCCCCTTGCAGAAAGAGGTGAGGGTAGGAGACCCTGCCTGGTGTTTTAACCCTGCTCTTGGATCAGCTGCAAGATCTGGGTAGACTCAACTTTAGTGACTGGTGGATAACATGTCTGTGAGCATGTTTAAAAAGCCAGTTGAAGGCCTAAATCTCAGAAGGCCATTTCTGGAGCTTTTTACTGGTCTGTCTGGAGCTGAAGAGGTTCCCTTTATTCTTTCCTAGTAACACCTGAGATTTTTAAACTTGTTCTAGCACAAGAGCCTTTTTTATACATCCGGGGTAGCTGACAAGTCCTGCTTGCTGCAAATTTGCTGTCAGTGTAGTCAGAGCCATGTTAACTGGTAAAAGTGGCCATGGGCCAGAAGGGCATCAACCCTGAATGTGAGAACTCTAAAAATACAGGCTCCCTCTTTCCCTCCAAAAAATGCACTTTCAGCAGAATCTGACAGAGGCTGGATCCAGTCTGCTCCAGATGGCGTCATCTAGGGATTAAAGCAGATACAGAAAATACATGCTGTATCCGGAACCAGGATGAGCAAATAAAAGTATTTCTGGGTTTAGGGTTTTTATCTTCTGAAGCAATAGTGTGGATTTTGTTTTCTTCAAGTGATGTGTTGATGAAGCTTTCTACCTTTGTGAAAAAGAGCTGATAGAAAAGTCAGAAATTCTTTTGAAACATACCCATGACAAAAAAACACTTGGCTGCTCCTGACAGCATAGTGTAAAGGGAGAAGAGTATGCACCTTTAAAAAGTTGTATATCTTAATTATACTCTACAACTTTGCAACTTTCCTTTAACTTGCTAGTGTGGAGATTTTATGGCAGCCTTCCTTTGAGAAGCAAGGAGCTTTTGCATCTCTTCCTACCCAGGATCAGAACAGATTGTCTCCAAAGCTGTGCCAAGCTCTTGAGAGCTGCAGTACCATCAGCCTGTAGGGTTACTAATGCTGTAGGGCTCGGGTTTGTACAAGGAGAAATCACATGGCTTATGGGAAACCGTGCCTGGCTTCACTTTCAGTGAGGCCATTAGTACAATTATGTAAACAGGACGTGTCTGCCACTCATTAAATAATGTCAGGAAAAAGCAAGGAGAGTCATGTTTCAGCTGCCACCAAAGGGGTATAATTGTAGAGTACTTTGGGAGAATTATAGCTGTGAAAGAAAAGTTGCAGCCTGAAGCACAAATATGCAGGTTACTCAGTGAATGTGATATGGGCATTATATGTGAAGAGCACACGCTGGAGAGTATTGAATCTTACACAGACTGCCCCCAACCCTTGCCTTGGTTGTGAGGATCTATTTCTGTGCCAGTAGAAAACAAAATTAATCCTTTACCAAAATCTCTAATCAGACTAGCAGCCTTTTAGAACATCAATATTTGCAAATGTTTCAAGGGCCTAAGCAGTGGATACAGTCTAAATACATTAACAAGATAAAAGGGAGGTTGTCTGTAAGTCCAAGACTCCCTGGTGAGTTTGTAATCCTATAAGAATAGGACAAAGGTGTCGGTCATCTAGCTTTGTGCTGAAATGCCCATGCTTCTTATGCTGCCCATGAAAGGAGACAACATTCAGCAGCTGTTTGTGGATGTCATGTTACAAAAAAAAACAATCTAAATAAAACACACCTCAGAACAGAGTGTAACAAGCTATTTTTTGTTTAAATAATAATCTGTACATCTCAGTACAGCTTCATACGTTACAAACACCACCATGTTCACAGGAAAGGCACGAATGCAGTTTAAACCCAGTCCTTTGAAGAGTACTTTTGCACCCTCCTTTCTCACACTTTCCCTAATGCAGTGGACAAGGCCTTTGTACTTGTGCTGGTCCGATTCATCTGTTTGCATCCGTGATTTGATGACATCCATGGGAGTAGCAAATCCCCAGGCCAGGACTCCAGCAAAACCACCAGAAAGCAGCACAACGAGGAAATCTGCAGGAGAGAGAAGGGAGGAGCAGTTAACTCCCAGCCTTGCACTCATATGGCCACAACCATCTCAGGTTTGTCAACTAATGTTAACTTCAATGGTTTTTAGCAGTTTTTTTGTCCAGCTCTTCCAGTTCCAGTGATCTCACACAAACCATGTGCCTCTTGATTTCACAGCATTTTTGCTGTGGTTTGCACAGCTTGCTTGTGCCTACATGATGCTTTTAACACTGCACAAATTAGATGTGATGCAGCCTGAGAGCTGATCACACTCTCTTCAGCTGGATCTACTGATTCTTAAAATTCTTAGAGAGAATTGTCACCTATTTGATATTTTCTCAAAGTGGATAGGGTTTTTTTCAGGGCCAAATCACAACCATGAAACTGAAGTGTCTTTAATTCTGCCCCTGGACTTCTGGACTGATCCTGACCTGTGCTCCATGATGACTCCTGGGAGGTTTGACCATGTTTCATTTCTAGTTATGTCCTATTTCTGCATTAAGATGATTTCATACCCACATACTAGGCACCAGAGCATGCCATAAATACCCCTCCTGTATGGAGAGGAGTAGCTGCTGAGGGGCAAGGTCATGCCAGCAAAATGGCCCTGTAGCACCAAGAAGCAAACAGACCACATCTGGGTGAGATTTTATAGACACTGGCTGATTTTTTGCTGAGAGCCTGATTTCCCTCTTAGTGTGGTACTAAATAAGCCACTTTTGCAGGTAATGCCAGATGCTTTCTGGTGCCTACCTGGTTTATTTTTCCCAGCTGGTGTGAGCCAGTCACATAGAGCAGAATAGGTGAGGAAATATATTGCAGAAGAAAAGCAATCCCTGCAGAGTAATGCAGAACAGCCCTTGTACAGACCCCCAAAACCTTCCTGCTTGGCAATCACCTTCAGACAGTGCAGAGACCCTTGGTACTTTGGTTTGGAAACAGGTTGGGGAGATGTGATGGAAGGATGTGGGTTCCTCTGAGTCTGCATGCGAACTTTGGCCACTTCACTAGGAGCCATAAACAGAACCTGGAACATCAGAAGATGGTATTTTAACCCTTCACATTTAAACAGTGGTTTGATCCCCCTCCTGCAAATTGCTTGTCTCCCACCTTTTCAGGCAATAATATTCTCTGAAGCCAGGGAGTTCCAGCCTCCTTCCCTCTGTTTGTCCTAAATCTCAGCCAGCAGCAGCAGGACACATGTCTGAGCTGCACCATGCTGAGTGGAAGGCAAGGCAGAAATCAACAGAAGGTATCGTATACCTGTAACAACTTGTTAAACCACATGGGCATGAAAAGGGGATGTCCTCAGCTATGGGGTAGCATACATCAGGGCTCTTGTATCTATATTTGGAACCAAGGCCATAAAGACTAAAAAAATCAGCCCGTGTAAAGTAGAGTCACTGCCTGCTAGGAAACATCTAGAAACCTGACCATCTGGACTGTTCTGTAAGAGGATTGCCTGTGACTGGATATGCATCTCTGCCCAGCATGCCGTTGGGTCACTGGGGTGAGCTCTGCTGCATTCATAGCACCTGCAGATGCTCACAGAAATCCATCTGCTTATGGGAAACTGTTCCTGGATTCAGCCTCACCTCCCTATCCTGGTATCATGCACATTTGCCAGGCAGCATCAGTTCTCAGTGATGCCTTGCTGAGTTTTGAGTCCTGACAAGGCAGAGTTTATGTACCACCTATTTCTACAGCAACACTGTACTGGGCTTGTGCTGTAACACACTGAGTTAAGTCTTGCATACAAACACACCATCAGAGTCACTTTGAAAGTTTGCTGCCCAGGCTGTTTTTACTTCCTTGTCTGTGCTGCCAAGGCCGATGTCATTCTTAGCAACATGCTCTTAAGTGTTTTGGCACTCTAAACCAAATCCAGCATGAGCTGCACAGCAGGAATCAGCCATGCCACAGGGCTGACCAGAGAAGGGGCAGAGCATGACCCCCGTGTGAAAACAAAGCCTCCTGGACAGCAAACATTCACTGCTTTTCCAGCCTCCTGTGTCTGCTAACAAGATCTCTTCTTGTGCTTTCCCTTCCAGCTGTTTACCTACCCGGACAGCACCAGCAGCACCTCTGGCAAGAAAAACATCCAGCTTGGATGGCTTCACATCTGCAGCCCCGTATCGCAGCTTGCAGATGCCACAAAGGAAGTTTTTGTACATGCCAAATGAAACAGAAGAGATCACTGATACCGTGAGGACTGAGGCAGACATACCTTTGTAAAATCCCCAAACCTAGTTGGAAACAGAGGAAAAAAAACACTTTTAAGAGGGAATGGCATGGGAAAGCACCTACTGGCCACACATAGCTGAGCCAAAACTTACTCGCATCTTACAGATCATTGGCAAAGCTAAGTTTCATCCTGACCCTTCTCCCAAAAAATGACTGTATGCAACTGCTGCCCATCCTTCCCAAGCTGGCAGAGGCAGCTCTGTTTATCTCAAACAAGGATCCATAACTGCTATCAGAAATTCTGATGGGAGGTACTTACTTTTTCTGTCCTGTATGTTTCCTGAACACAGTGCCAAATTCCATTGTAACGCCTCTCAGTCTGAATTCTGACCTAGAAATACAGGAGCAAATTTAAAATGCAGATATCAGACTGAAAAAAAAAATATAATCAACAAATGCCATAGCAACAAACCAGCCAATTAACCATAAAATAGCATCACCAAACAATTGACTTCTTTAATTCTTTAAGAGAAAAACAGCACAACCAAATAAAGTGAAATGTCGACATAACGAAAATGAAAGCATTGTCATGGGAATAGTGTTTTTTTTTTAAAAAAACGAGGGGGAAAGCCAAAGGGCCTGTTTGTTTTCAATCTGTAGTCAAGAAATAAAGCTCTAACAAGTACCTTCACTGTGTCCAGCGGGTAACCCACTGCTGTGCTTAGACCACCTGAAACAGAGAGCGTATAGGAGATGGTTAACAGCACATGGCACAACAGACTGTTTTCCCTTGTCAGAGAAAGGCATTAGGGGAATGACAGAAAAATGCAGCCTCGGAGCCACGCCGTGCTTGGCACCAGACCTCTCCCGAGCTCCAGCGCTCACGTCTGGGCCAAGAATGACAGAGCAGAATGCACAGATTTCTCTGCATGACCAAGGCTCAGAGGAGGAATCCGAGCGTCATGGGAAACTTATCAGGAGGAATAACACCACAGTGAAAGCTGGGACTGGGAGAAACACTGATAGCACCTCTGAAGGAAGGTTGAAGGGATTACTTGTATATTGGACTGGTTTTGTTCCCTCTCTCAGCTTAGGGAGTAACGCATCTTTGGACTATGACCAGGCATCCTCATGTGAGGTGCAGAGTGCCCACCCACACAAGAGGGTCTCTGGAGCAATTTTGGTTCTCCATGATTAACTTGGAAATGTTAGAGAATAAAAGCAGCTCTCACAAGGACATCTATAATAGAGGGATGACCCTCACACATTACAGGTTCTGAGCAATCTGTCTGGAGGTCAGAAGAGGTATTCCTGCTGCCTCCTGCATGCCAGGGACTGGATGTGCCCTGGCTCAAGTTTACAAAGCACATCTAGCACCTTGGGTGAGGAATTCACTGGGTACTAGGGTCCATGGCACCATGCTGGACTAAGCCTCTGGAGCACATCTCATCTCTTGTACATACCACTGCTTCAGAAAGCAGAACAAGGAGCAAAAGCAAAGGCTGCTGGAGCCCTGGCAGGCTGGTGTGACAACCAGTGGTGCTGGTCTGTGGTGCCCCCTGCCCTCCGCTGCTCAGGGATCAGAAGGATTAAGGTGCAGTGAGGCATCAGTGCTGCGTGTGCAAAAGGTTGCATGGCCTGCACACCTGATGAATCCCCACCTGCAGCACTGATGGCATGTCTGGCATATGAGGGGGTCAATCCTCTATCGACACCTGGTCTTCTTTTGAGACCTTAAAATAGCCACTGGAGTTGGAAACATGTTAATCCCATGAGACAAAGTTACTGCCTTAATGGCAGATAAGGAGAGTAAAAGAGCTCCAATGTGGACTTCTCTTGGTCACAGTAACAAAGAGATCACCCATTCCTGCCCTTACATCACTGCATTTCCCAGCTCTGGTTTAAATGCATCTCGTATCTATTGTTGTATTGTACATCAACAGATGATGAAGGGACTGACCAGCTAACTTCCTCCTAGTATATAAACCACAAAGTCATCTGAGAGGAAATCAGGCTGGGGGATGACAGAGCTACATCCATATGAGTTACTTAGAGATCAGTTCATAAAAGTGCTGGATAAGCCCTATGGGGACCCAGGCAGTCAAAGATACAGTACACATATGGTGGCTCACAGGTTGGAAACTACTTCTGATTGAGTCCTTCTTTAAAAACAAAAACACAAAACCCAAGATACTGAAAAGTATTAGTAGCCCCAAGTATTTCACAGGGCATGTTCATGTGTGGTTACACGGCAGCTTGGGAGCTCTGGAATGCTCTACTTTGTTTTGGAAAAAAATCAGCAGTTGCTGGTGTGAGTCACCGAGAGACGATCCCCAGGTGTGTTACTCAGGAGAAAACAACCAACAGTATCTTGCTTGCAGAAAAATGAGGTTTATTCTTCAAAAATCTCTATCAAATCTGCCACCAGATAAACAGCAATGAAGATGAAAAATGGGTCCACCTTCTGTATTCCAAAACTAAAATGAGATCAGGCTGGAAGAGAGATAGTGAGGGGGAATATACCAGCAGAATAATATGGCTGGAAGGAGCAGTGCTTCTAATCCGAGCAGAGAGTGACAACGCACAAAGTCACCCAGGGCCACCTGCACCGTCCGGGATTCCCTGTCATCGGGCAGAGACAGCCTGCAAACATGGACCCTGCCAGCCAGAGAAGAGCAGCACATAAGCCACTTTCAGTGTGACAGCCCTGACCTCAGAGGTGCAGTGTCCTGGCCCAAGCACCCTGTCCCAGACAGAAGGATTTGGCATTGCATCAGCTTCAGCCTTCCTCAACCTTAGAGGCAGTGGCCATGAGCTGACCAGACACTAGCTACACAGGGTCACTGTGAGCCTCTCACAGATCAACACTGGCTTGACCCACAGGCTCAAGAGCCTTGGCTCATGAGCATCAGGAGCCAGGGCTGATTGGATCAGCCTTTGACAAAAAGTTGTGGATGCTCCATCCCTGGCAGTGTTTAAGGCCAGGTTGGACAGAGCCTTGGGTGACATGGTTTAGTGTGAGGTGTCCCTGCCCATGGAAGAGGTTTGGAACTGGATGATCTTAAGGTCTTTTCCAACCCTAATTGTTTTATGATTCTACGATACTAAGTGTCCTCCCTTCTGCAGAAATTGCCCAGTTTACACATTAAGTTGCAGAGACAACAGCAACATAGACAAAACAAGGCAGGTTTGCCCTAAACCAGGCTGTTTCCTGCTTCTTCTCAGTCCTAAGGGCTTCCATGCAGATTGGTTCCAGCAACGATCAAAATCCTCTTGAGAGGAGGCCATAAAGATAAGTTTTTCACTGCTGCCACCAAAGTGGAGATGTGAGCCCCCCAAACCTCTAAACAACCACAGCCTGCCATGAACCAAACTCCGTAAGAGCCAAAGCACTCAGCAGTTAACTTGTCAGAGCTGAGGAGCTCAGCCAAGTCCATCAAAGGCCAAGGAAGGGCTCTGCACAATGTCACACAGTATAAATAGCCCAGGATGAAGACAGCATGACCCACACACACCCCGTTTGCACAGCAGAATCAAGTAAGACCAGCAATGTATAGCATGCATATTGGGGAGGGTTCCTGTGGGAGTCCGGCTGAGTAATGCCGCACAAGCTGTGACAAAAATAACTATCAAGATCAGGTGAATGATCATTCTGGGGATTAGTGAGATATTTTTTATGCCTACTTTATCTGAGATGTTCTCAGGTATTGCGCAGAGGTTGCGGCATCCCCTACACACACAGAGCGCAGGTACAAAACTCAGCTATTCACAGTCTCTTCATGAATCAGGTGGCTTCAACAAGGCAATTCAAAAAAGAAGGGTATCCTGGCATGGTGACCACCACAATGGCAATCAGCAGAAAGGAAGCAGCAGCCCAGCAGGCTGCCACAGTTCCCAGCTGTTGGCAGCCCCCTGGCTGAGAGACCCACAGAGAAGCAGGGGTAATGGTCCACATGCTGGATGGGTAGACAACAGCTTCCAAAGTTCTGTGAAGAGCTGGGAACATAAGAAGTGCCCCATAACCTAAGCAAGCTGAACTCCACCCAGTAATGTGACCCTGGCAGTGTCCAGCAGGAGCTGCTTTAGTTGCATGGACAAGACAGCATGTTCCCTCCATAAGTGGACTACTTTATCTATCCTTGAACTGCATGTGACTGGGTATGTAACCCTGCAGCAGGATGTGGAGAAGCCTGGGCATGCTACAGACCCTGCTGCCCTAAAACCATTGGGTAAACCTCAGTTTCCCCTTCCCAATTCTTTACACCTGGCATAAGGGTCAAGTCATATCCTAGTCATAAATAGCCCTAATCATCAATATCCATCACCTGTCATGGCTCAGGCTGCTGCTACAGCAGGGCTAGAAAATACATGAGATCATAAGAAAAATTGAGTTGGAAGGGATCTCTTGAGGCTTCTAGTCCAATCTCCTGTTCAGCTTTATTGGCCAAGGAAGACATCCTTACAGATTAGCTGCTTTCTCCAACATGCAGCCTCATTTGGTTGTTATTGAAAGTTTCCACAGTCATTAAGCATGTTCCTTTCATGGTTTTTTTTTCCATCTGGAGTCACAGTAGATCATTGTTTCCTGGGCTGAAGATGCTGAGGTTATCCCATGGCCACAGAAGCAATAGCTCTGTGGAGGAGATGCTATATTTGTGCACGTGCCTGAGCCAGGCTGGATAGTTACATGGGATTAAAACAAGCAGCATCTCAGCCATTTATCAGAGGTGCTTAAGTCACACTTTCTCTAAAACACTCTGAAAATAGGTCAAGGTCACAAGAATGTAATTTACTAAACAGAAACTCTGTTATTATCTGTGTTGCCTCTTGAGTTGTTTGATGCACTTCAGCTGGGTTTGTAGCCCTTATAGGAACATGAAAACTGCTTCAGCTCTGACATAAGCCATGAAATAAGATCAGCACCAAAAACATCCCAGTTCTTGCAGGAAAGCTGTCCCACCCCAGGAAGCTGTCCCATGGTGGGGTAGGGACCATGGCCCTAAAGCCCTGCACAGGTACCTCACACATGTTTATGTGCAAGCTCCCAGCAGGGATAAGTATGCCAGAAAACACCTCTGTCTGCCAGAGGAAAGTTGCATTAACCCTCTTAGAAAAGCCATGAGCTGGACACAAATGACAGGATAGAAAATCTTTCTCTCTGACACCCTGAGATCAGTAAAGTGCCTTAAAACATGCAGACATTTCTGGTCCTCACTGGAGCTCCCCAGCTTGCATCCTCCCAGGCTGAACCTGTTTCCAGGGCACCCATGGGAGATGCTTGCTACATGGCTGGGTAGCACATGATGCTGGTGCCAGGATGGGGGGCACCACACAAACCATGGCTTTGCATAGAAGTGGGGACAGAATGCAGGTGAGCAGTCACTTTGAAACTGTGTTTTCAGCTTTCCAAATTCTCTTGCAAAACAAGATTATCCTTAAGTGACCCAGCTCCAACTATGCCCACAAAAGCAAAGGAGTCCAAACAGCAAATGCAGTTGTCAATGCCCTACCATTAACATGAAGTCTCAGAGGAGTTTTGGTGGATCCCTACAGGATGGACATGCAGTTGCCAGCCCCAGCACAGGGCTCCCATCTCCACTGGGAAGTCAGTAAGGAAAGAGGAGGAGAAAGGGAGGCTGTCATGGAGGGGCTAATTGTATCCCCCTCTCCCATGAAAGGCTGTTGCCAAGCAGGGTCCCCCAGTACCCCAGGAAAGCCAACAGCCCAAGCAACAGGCACCTCCAGGGCTGGATGCTGCTGAGACACCAGACCTTGACCTGCTTGCACATTTTGGGTGATGAGCAGTAAGGGGCTGCAGGGTAAAAATCATCGGCATGCTTTCCAGGAAACGCACATCTGCACCAGGACCACAGGCTGCTGTTCCTGGTGAGGGAAACTGCCAAATTCCAGCCGAGCTCAGTGAGATCAGATATCCAGGCTTGGACTCGGTGTCTCAGGTTTACCTGGCCTTTCTGGCAGCAATGCCAAGGCTCTTGTGTTGGTATTTGATACTCCACTAATCTGACAAGATTTCAAAAAGCAATTAAACCAGTGGCTTTATTTTGTTGTTTAAAGCAGAGCTGGGTGTGAGCAGCATGTCCTCTGAAAATGGCTGGAATTAAATAACACTTTTCTCCTTTTACTTTTTTTATTTACAACTAACCTCCTTTCTCCCAGATCAAAGCCTGCTCTGCAGCATGCCTGCACTGACACTACCATCACAACTGAAATACATCTTAACCCAAGATAATGCAAAGGTCATTCATTCAGACCTTCTTCACTGCAACAAAGCCATGCATCCTCCCTACTGTCCCACAATTCCCATCCTCAGTCCTCCAGAGCCACGACCCCAGCAGCCTACCAGCACCCCCAGGCATCAGACACATGAGGTTTTGCCCTCCAGGCAGTACTAGCCCATCTGTATCTGCACACAACACGTTCCACTTTGTCTCTTCCAAACAGAGTTTTGCTCTGCCCCACTGCAGTTACACTGGAGGAGACTGCAGGGTGATGACCTCAGCTGACCAAATTGCAGCACTGCCTCTCCAGTGGCGCCGTGAACCTGCTCGGATGACATTTTCCATTTAGTAAAGAATGCACTTTTAACAAGCCCCCACTGAAAGACTCTCAGCTCTGCAATGAGACCTGCCCATTAGCTGGACAAGAAGGAAACACAGCAATCTGCTTTCATCCACAAGCACTACTTATGTATTTACCTCCAATGGCCCCGGCAATGAAATCCATCCAGACTGACTCTGCTGCCTTAATTACCCCGATTAAGCGTTAGGGAGGTAGAAGAAAGGAGGATACTAGTTCAGCCTTTCCAGAGACCCGCAGATCCTTCGGAGAGAGTGATTTGGAATATGAATCCCTTTCCTACTCTCTTCTCTTGCCTCTAGGGATTGTGAGCCTTGTGGATATCTGATGAATTTGCACATTGGAGGCAGAGAGGGGAAGCCTGGAGCTGTTCCAGGCACAGTGAATAAGTAATCCTGTGAAGCCCTGCAACGCTGTGCCAGAGCCGCTGTTCCCAGTGCCCTTCTGCTTGGAAAATCACGAGGGGTGGTGCCTTGCAGGATAAAGCTGGATGTGAAGGGACCGTTCCCCATTGTACTTATTAACCCTAGAAGACAGGTTTGCATGCTTGTTTGCCAGAAGTCACTCTTGCCCTGTGCTGTGGAGAAGTGGCATCTGTGGCTGGATATGGGACACTTCCCCCATCCCATCCCACCCCTCCTCCTTCAGATGGAGCAGACTCCTATCAAGGAAAATTCTTTGTGCCCTTTCTACGGATTTTTCTTTGGGTTTTCTAACCCACAGAGCTGACCCTAAATCTCTACCCAGTTCCCCAATGAATTATTACCTGCTCATTGTGTATACATGTGGTGAAGCCCAGAAATTAATCCAACCATATACAATGTGCTTGTTTCCCTTTCAGACTGCAGGGTAGTTCCAGTTTTCCCAGACCCTGGAAGGAGCTTTGCTTCTTCACTTCTTACTCAGTCTCCCAATCTCCTTTCCAGTGTCAGTTCCTTGCTGAGTTTAGTGGTGGAGCAGGAATCGCAATTACTGCTGCCCATACTCCACTGTTTTATCCCACAGGGGAGATGGGAGGTGGATTTTGCCAGGGGTCTGGTCCAGGACCTATTTTTTTCTTCCTAATTTATACCCAGCACAGGGCAGTGTTCTCAGCAGGGGAAAGAGAGAAGCACAGAGAGAGACCTGCTAGTAAAGAGCTCAAGATAATGCCATATTGCCTATTTTTGCACAACAGCCACATACCAGAGGGCTGCCACATCTACATGGGAGAGGTGAAGTTTTACCCCCAGTGAACCTGGAAACCAAAGTCCTAACGCAGTGAGGGGCTTGCCAAGTTGTGACCTGAATTGTACTCCTCTTGAACAGGTTTCCATGGGCCAGAGCCAAGGCTCACTGGCAGCAAAGGGAAAAGAAAATTTCACAGCTAATCGCCCCCCAGGTTGGCTGCAGAGAGGAGCTGAGGACTTTGGTCCACAGTGCTCTCCTGCGCATTTCACAAGAGCCTATTTCTCAGTGAGGTACCTATTTTAGATAGGCTGATGTGTCAATGACTTACAGCACAGCTCACTGCGAGGCCTCAGAGTTTCTGGGAACTGAAAATTAAAGGATTTTAAAAGCTTGTTTCCCATGATTTCTTACATGTCCTTCCCTGAACATTTTCTGTGCATGAGAGAACAGCTTATTCCAGTGTAACATCATGCAAAGACAGAAAAAAATGTCAAACCAGAAGTAAAATATTATCTAGAGAGGTAGCAATCTGTCTGCTAAAACACACTGGGTTACTCAGTAGCCCTTCCTTGTTACACCTGGTGACCCCAGGGCAGTTTTTAATGGTTCATCAACAGCGCGCACATGCCAAGTGCAGGGAAAGGTGACATTTCCGCTTCTCCAACCATCCATTCCCAGCTGCTGTCCTTGCAGGCCCCTTCCAGCAGCAGGACCGGCTGTGGCACCTGCTGTGTCAGTGACACTTGGGGACAAGAGCACAACTCCCCTGTGGAGGGGCTGCGCGGGAGCCTTCAGCCTCCTGGTTCCTGCAGGGATTGGGGAACCTGCCGAGCTGTGCCAGCCCACACCGCAGCAGCCACTGCTGCCTTCGGATCACTGTTTAGACACCACTGTTTAATATGGCTTTTCTGGGAGCTACTTCCAGGCAAAGTGAAGAAATTCATTATGTTTCCAACATGAAGGTGTCACCATGCGTTCCCTCCCATCACACGGCCAGGGTGTCATGTTGGGGGGAGGATTCTTGTATGTATTTCATAGAAAAGATTGCTTTATTGCACTGGTGCAATATCAGCAAGAAAATAGAGACTGGATGTCACATCACACTGTCTGACTGGAGTGTCAGTATTTCCCATGAAATGTCACAAGACCAAGCAAAATGTCTACCTTCTTTAGCTGAGCTGAACAGCTCAAAGGGGGTCTTCCTCAAGAAACCTTCTGAGATAGTAAAACAACCAAGCAACACAGCCCAGAACCTTCTCTTTGCAACAGAAAATTAACCCTTTTTAGTATTTTAACTTTCATTCACACTGCTTCTATCAAAATGCTAGTTTGCTTTATGTAGCACAAAGATGACTCCAAATTCAAGCATTTTGATAACCTTCTGATAATGGTTTTGGATACTGAGGTATACCAGGACAAGTCCCATTTTCCACTTGACTGGATTTGCTCTGTAAATAAAGGCTGCTCACAAGGTGGACATTTGAAAGAAGAATATTTTGGGGCTTGAGATGTTTCACCTTGTCCCATAAAGGTGTCGCTGGGGACAGCCAGCTCATAACACAGCTACTTCAGGGACATTTGCCTTGACAGGGTTTAGCAGGGTAACATGAGCCTCAGGCAAACACAGTGGCCACTGCTGTAGTCTCCAGTCTTTATTCCTGGTGTCTGGCTAGGACTTGGACTTGTGTGACCTGATCTGACCCGACCAGCCTAGCTCCCACGTGATGGCGGTGAGGGCAGAGCCTTCTGGAAAAGAAGCCCCATGCAAGTGTTGAAGTGTTCACACACAAGCAAGTACAGAGAAGGTGCAATCTGGCATGAGGGAAAAGCTGTCTGATAAATGAAACCTGTGTTACTGCATTTGCTGTTGCCCTCTGACGTGCCCCAAACAGTACAGACCGATTCCCTGCTAAAGAAAGAGATCCTCAAGGCAGCCTTCCTTGACAGGAGTCCTACTAAAGGTGTGGAGTCCTTGAGGTCTCACTGTTCTTCATGCTTTGCTAAAGGACCTTCCTCCTTCACCCCCTCTTCTCCAGGTTTCAGAGATATACCAGCTCTCTGATACCAGCCTCATTAGAAACACTTCCCAGAATCAAGCCCCCTAGTGCCACAGGTCAACAGAGACAGCCCAAAAATCCCAGCCCAAAGAAATCCTGAATTATCAGGAATATCTTCAAGACAACTCAAATATGAGTCATTCCTGTCACTCTTTGATGCAATGTCCAAGGACTGAGAGATCACTGCTAGTCCACCTTGCAAAGAAAAGCTGTCACATCTATGCAGGGTGTCCCTGCCCGTGGCAGGGGGTTTGGAACTTGATGATCTTAAGGTCCTTTCCAACCCAAACCATTCTGTGATTCTATGATGAACACAAGTGCCTGGTCCCAACCCAGGTGGTCTTCTCAAAGCTTGCCCTGGGAAATAACACACAAAACACATGCTTTGAGCCTCCACAAGGGATAGTACTCCACAAAAAGACCTCACAAATCCTTTCCTCCTGTACCAAACTGTTTAAGAGTGATTTGTTCAAAATGGCTGAATTTCACAGGGGATTTTGAGAAAGC